TTTTTTTAATATGTTTGGCACAAGGTCTCACTACGCAGCTTGAACTTGTAGTGATCCTCCTGTTTGCTGCCTCCCCAGCGCTGAGATGACAGGCACGAGCCACCATGTCCTTGCACTTGCTTAAACAGGTGCTTAGTATGTTGAGCTATCTCACTGGCCCTCACTTTTATTGTTATCTGAACTTCATGTGAAGTAACTTTGAGTACTGTGGCTTCTAGTAAAATGGTAATTCTATGTTAACAAAGAACTGGGGCTGGCTAAGTCTTGTTCCCTAATTTGAGTCCCTGGGGAAAAAAAAATGGGGATTGCATCTCCTCACCTACCACATACTTGCTAGTTTTCAGAAGAATGGGGGACTTCTGGACCTTAAACTGGCTTACATAACTTCTATGACTTCTTGCAGGTTAATCAGCAGCCTAGGTCCCTGCTGGACTTAAATTGTTGACTAAAATCTAAGTGGACCTATTTCTCCCAATGACTAAAATAAATCTAAATATCTAAGGGATAGTCATATCACAGTAAACTGCTTTAATTCATGTTAATCAACCTCAGAGAATTAGACAAGTTTACTGTGGGTATACTAGTTATGTTTTTGCTAGGTAAATATTTTATTATTCATGAAAAATTTGAATAAAGCCAACAACCAGCCAGCTATGGGCCATGGCCCATGCCTGTAATCTCTGTACTCAGGAAGCTGAGGCAGGAGAATTGTGAGTTCAGCCCAGCCTGAGATACAAAGTGAAACCTTGTCACAAACGAAAGCCTCAAAAGCTTAACTATGAACTTTAGCCAGATTCTCCCTAAAGGCTTCAAAAATTCCGTATTTTGAATTATATGAAATTGTGCACTTGAGAGGCATTAAGCAGTAGTACTGCTATATAAATTTATTTTTTCATTATTTAAAAACTACACAGTTAGCAATCATTCTATAAAAATACACACTGCAGTGACTGCCACAAAACTTCCTTTGAATGAAGTACTACAGTTACTAATACAGTGGGCAAAACATACCCATCTAATGTTACTCCCTTCCAGAATTGCACTAAATCATCCTAAAGGGATAAAAATAAAATGGAAAAGGTGATGACAGCCATAAAACTTCAGAAGCTGGAAAACAGATGAATGAACGAATGACTCAGCAACCACGAAGGCCCAGTTTACACTGATTCTCAAGTGGCACTAGATCAGAGGCCCTGGAAGTGGCACTATGACACAAAGACTCAGTGGCAGGTCTGAGAAGCACCAGTACTCGTCACTCCTATGGAAGCCCGGAGTAGTTTTATTTCTGGACAAAGTAACACCAGGGGCACTCTCCAGCATAGCAAAGTACGGGAGAAATGAGTGAGTTTAGGTATATCTAGTGCTAAACATGAAGTTCCCATGTATTTACTATCTAATGTTCAATAGGCAAGTTCTCAGATTTGCAGACTTCTCTGGGAAACCGAGGAAGAGCAATCTGGGATCCTGACATTGGAGCTTCCTCCGTGAAAGGCCCATTTGGGACAGCCTAAATTCCTGGTGGCCAACTTACACATGGCATGTGTGTTATTTCCTTAACATGGAAGATATTGATGAATGAGCTTGTTTTTTTCTGAACTAAAACCTCAGGTTTAAATGCAGTCTTGGCACCTTGTGATACAAACTGCAGTTTGTGATAGAAACTCTGTCTCAAAGGTTCGTCAGCACTGACCTAAGAGAAGATGAAACTGAGCCTAAACTGTGTACTGTAAGTCCCCAGTTTACGAAGATCGAGTTCTTCAACTTTGACAGAAAGCAACAGACCTCGCATTATGAAACTCTGTAGATGGGAACAAATGGCAGAAGTAGTTCACGTGGCTGCCGGACAGTGTCACGGTGGTGCTGCTGTGTGCTTTGTGCAGGTAATAATGTACGGGCATACAGTGCTCAGTCGGAGCCCAGAGTGGCTGGAAGCAATGGGAAAAGCAGGAGTGACGAGAGGAGAGCTAGGAAGTGCAAAGCAGTAACCACGGAAATAGAGTGACAATAATGAGACTGGACTGAGGTGAGGGGACGGTAGAATTGCTCCTTCTTGCAACATGAATTGTTCCACCGCTGGCATGATTCTGCAGAATATGGCCAAGACCACTTTGTCACTCATGAACACGTCTGACTATGAACATTTTCCCAGAAAGAAACTGGTTCTTAAGTCGGGGACTTATTTAAATCCTTATAGAAATGGATTGGAAAGGAAACTTTGGAAGAAAGCTCAGAAAAGAGAGAAAAACAAAGCTGAAAAATAGTATATTTTTAAGAAAGTTAAAATATTGAGCTCAGGTGGAAAAAAGGCTGGCTGCCTATATGCTTATTGTATGAATTAGCTCATAAGTTACTAATGAATAGGGGGATTTTATAAGTATTAATGTATTAGTCATTTTGGTTTCAACGTTATTTCATTTTCAACAAATCAGTAGATTTCTTAACTCTGGCAAGAAAAGATCTCCACTTAGCTGGTGTACTGGCAGCAGGGGCCTAGGTATGTTTTTGAAAATTTTACAATACTGAGGGTTTCGATCCAGGGCTTCCTCCCAGAGCAGCCAACCCAGGTTTTGTACAGTTGCTGACTAGAGGCAGTCTGAGCACCTCCCCCTTACGTGGTGGCCTCATGGTTTGGACAGTTCCCTTTATATCAGTGTCTCCCAGCCCTACCCCACAAAGTTGGCATGTCTATTACTTTTTTTTTTAAGAAGTTTTACTAAGGTACTCTTGATAATGCAATAGATCGCCATTTTTTAACAATGTAATCTGATAAATTTGACATGACTTACGAGACCATCACCACCTTCAAACAGGAAATCCGTCAGCCCCCAAAGGTTGCCCCAGCCCCCTACTCCCTTCTCAGGCTATTGTTTTCAGTATTTTTAACATCTGAGAGTAGTCTGAATGACCCAAATTCACTGCTGTAGTCATTTATTTTAATTTTTTTTGCAAGATGAGATTTTCCAGCAATACAGTACAGGTATCATACAGTTGTAGAACACTCGGGTCACATTAAAAACAAGAGGATGCCAAAAGAAATTACAGTAGTGTTCAGAAATTAAGTAGAAAGGGGAAGCTGAGCATAACACTTGGTAGAAGATGAGAAAAATCTAGTAAACTGGGTCAAACGACCAAAAGGAAGGGTATATCTAGAATTTTTCAAAGAACCAAGTACAGTAACAGGAGTTTTCCAGAAAGGGAGGGAGAAAGTGGGGGAAAGGGACAGGAGACTATAAACAAAATAGTTAAAATTTGCCAGTTAAAAACAAATGTTTAGATTGTCAGACTGGTTGTCTAGCACATTGTATAGTGTATTGTAAACTTTCAAAATCTTCATAGAGAATGTTATGTGAGGTTCTTGGGAGAGGAAAACAATGTACCACACAAAAGGAATACTCACTGGGACTGCTTTAAGTTTTTTTTTCTTTTGAGACAAGGTCTCGTTATATATATATAGTTCATGCCGAACTTGCGCTCCCAGCGATCTGCCTGCTTCAGCCTCCCAAGTGCTGGGATTACAGGGGCATGCCACCACCCTGGCTGAACCTCGTAAGACCAGTGGTGGGAGCAAAACAAGAGATGAACAATTGCTTCAAAATGTTAAAAGAAGAATACATTCCAGCTTAGAATTTATTTTTAAACTATCAACCAAATATAAGGTGATAAGGCACTTTTAGATAGTCCACATCCCATTAACCTTCTGTGTACCATTAGCCCAAGAGGATGTGCTCTACCAAGAAATGAAACACCTTTGGAATATGAAAAATGCAACCTAAGAGAATGGCTAATATCCCAGCGTAACTGTTGTGCCCCTTGGTAGCTCCGGCCCAGAGCCAAGCAGTAACATTCACACTGGTGGCTATAGTTACTAAGGTCACTGCTGTCATTGAACATTTTTCGCCCGGGACATACCCTGGCAAGCCTAGTCCAGGTTCTTGTCAGTACTTGCCTTGATGAACTAATGAAATGAACGTCCTTTCTTCTGTGCTTCACAGACATGCCAAGTAAGGGCACTATTTTAGTACTAGGAATCGAACTCAGGATCTTGTGCTTGTCAGACAGGTGCATGTGCTACTGAGCTGTGTGTCCTCAGCTCATTTTATTTCTTTGTTTTCATTTTATCATTTCTGCTTCACCTATTTCTGAAAGCTGATGTTGGCCTTTGGTGAATATATATATATATAATTTTGTTTTTATGCAGGGTCCCTCTACATGGCCCAGGCTAGCCTCCAACTTGTGGCCATCCCTCTGACATCAGTCTCCCAAATGTTGGGTTTATAGGTGTCCACCACCATGGCCTTGGCCTTTGGTGAGCCTAAAGCAGAAAATACAGTCTTCCCTGTTTGACTAGTGGCCAGAAATCAAGTATGAGTTTTACACTTGATTCCACATGCTTCAGTTGTGGAGAGCTAAGAATTCACTCGACATTGCCAATGAACTTAGGAAGAAACCCATAAATCCTGGGGAAGAAAGAACCAAACTAGGACTGCTTGGTTTTCATTCAGGAAAATTATTTTACTACATACAGAAGTACTGCACCTTTCCTTAAATTCATGCTTGCAGCTCAGATTGTCAAAACTGAATATATTATGTAAGGCAGTGTTCTCCAGTGGGAAAACTAAAGCAAGAGTAACTAGGAAACCATTAGTGGTTATCTTGGTACAGATGAAAAGAAAATACAATGGGAGAAGGACCTGAAAGGATTCCAAGGCTGGGGAGATAGCTCAGAGGTCTAAGTGCCTGCCTGGGAAGCGCAAGGACCCAGGTTCAATTCCTGGTACACCAGAACTCTGGGAGCGCCATGCTGGCCACTGAAACCGGGCACAGTGGTACGTACCTGTAACCCCAGCACTGCGAAGGCTGAGACAGGAGAATCACTATGAGTCTGAGCTGTGCCCCAAGACCCTGTACCAAATCAATCAATAAATGATTAAATTTTTAAAACTTTTTTTTAAAAAGGCTTCCAAGACTAATTATCAGTTTCATCACTTGAATGATGGGTACTCAGATGTATTTTTAAACTTGCATATACATATTTTAATACTGTTTTTTCATATGTATAATACATATTATTTTATGTTGAGAATACAGGAAAGCATGGGTACCTGCCAGAAATTACAGAAGACAGAAATTTTGGCAAAAGGTCTAAAGAAGGGGGCAGGTGAAGTCATAATGAAAATCCACATTGTACTTTAGGACTGAACCAAAATGAAAATGGAGATTTGCTTAGCAGTGATTCTTAATGGGATATGAAGCTATGATTTTTATCTACATTTTATGGTAGTTAGCTACAGAGTAATGCATCAAAAGTGACCTAAACATGCTTTGCTGAAGAGTATGACCTTCCAGCCACTTTTATCTCAAAGCTATTAGGTGGGGCTGAGCAAGGTGGAGGGCTGAGGAGCAGTGGCCCAGCAAGGAGTGAAGGTCTCTGTGGGGTGCACAGCAGGGGCTGAGGGAAGGCGCCCTGGGGACACAGGTTGTTGGGGTGGGACGGGGAGAGATGTTCCAGAAGGGGGGCTTGGGCTGGTGCAGGGCGTCTGAGCCAGGGGAGGAGGTGAGGAAAGAAAAGGATGTGAGTGTGATCCCAGAGGAATGTGCCGAGTGGTGACAGCGACACGGATTTCGTTAAGTGGGAAGAGGAGTGACGATCGAAGAAGTAAATTGAGAAGTAATGGGAACCAGATTTCTCATTGAGAGCTGTGACTATGGTGACAAAACTAAATGAGACTAAACCCTGTGGAGCTGCAACTGAAGGTCACTGATTTACAGAGAACGTAGACAATGTGGATACACATCACCGTACATCTACAGGTGTGTAATCTGCAACTTTGTCACTTAAGAGGTCCAGAGGACTAGGGATGCCTTAGTAAAATAAGCGCTTCTAGCACACTGATCTTGAGTTCTAATACAGTTCTTCTACGTCGCATTTTCCACTGATCACCAAAAGAACCCTGGAGAAATCATTTTACCATGGTCAGTCTCGGCAAACATCCTCTCACTGGGCATTCCAAAGCAGCATCATAATGGAGCGTATGTGAATTGTGTCTGCCCAGTAGGACAGTGACGGGGATTTCATGATTAATTGCTACAACTGTACCACACAGTAGGAACTGTGTTCTAAGTGCAGGCTGTAATGGTGCCTTTAAAGAAAAGAGTCTCCTACCAGCAGGAACAAATTACACAGAACCAAGACTGGTGTCACCAGTGTTCCAGACACCCTGCAGGTTGCCCACTCTGGCAGTCTGACTGCCCATCTGCCGTGGATTGCCAACCTGCTTGAGTGAATCCTGTTTCTTCTAGGACAGTTTCTTGTGGTCTTCCTCTGTACTCTCGTGGATTTGATCAGGACTCAAACCCAGGCTTGTCTTGAGAACAAGCTAACAGTTTTCACCAACTCAGAAAGGTTAAGCAAACTACAACTCCTTAGACGGTGGGGCTTCTGGTCTAGTTCTAGCTCATTCCATGGACATGAAAGGAGGTACGCCTATTGTATCTACAATCATTTCTTTTCTCACATATCAGTTCCTTCAGAGGACTTGTCAGTTTGTATTTATCTTACATGCTGCTTCTTTTTTTCAACACATTTAGTACAGGGTCTACAGGGTCTCACTATGTAGATCTGCCTCATAGTGACCCTCCCAAGCGCTGGGATTACAGGCACGCGCCACCACGCCCAGTCTCAGTCTGAGTGCGCCCTGGAGGTAGGGCTGGCAGGGCACACCGGGGATTGAATCCAGTCCCTGTGTCTGCCTAAGCAGGCACTGTAATCGCTGAGCTACCTGGCCAGCCCTGCTTCTGTTCTGTAAGAATAGGTTATCTTAACCCAGTATATTAATAGCTTATCCCAATATCCAAAACGTAAAAGTGCTCAGTTAATATTTATCAACTGTAAAAAGACAGTTACCACTTTCCCAGTATGTCAAAGGTCTTTTTCTTTGACTCTTTAAGATTACAATGGAATACTTAAAAATATCCTTTTTCTTTAGATGTGTTATCTACAAACGTGGATTAATTTCCATGCTAAATGAAAATGGCCAATTCGTTAAGAGGAGAAGTATTGAACCTTTATAAAAATGTAAGTAATGATGTTTCGAATTTCATGAACGGGGTTTGACATGAACTGTTTCGAGACACATAATCTTTCTTTTTTAAGCTGCTGTATCTTGGACGGGACTATCCAAAAGGAGCAGACTATTTTAAAAGGCGTTTGAAGAATGTTTTCCTTAAAAACAAAGATGTGAAGGACCCAGAGAAGATCAAAGAACTTATTGAACGAGGCAAATTTGTAATGAAAGAGCTAGAAGCTTTATATTTCCTCAGGAAATACAGAGCTATGAAACAACGCTATTATTCGGATGTCAACAAAACTAATTGATCATTTTTATAGATGGGCTGAAAAGTCAGAGACAGCTGTTTGTATATACAAAATATTGTGAACTAAACCTATCTGAAAAATGGTAACACATATGTAAAAAAAATTCTGAGCTATCTTGCTGAACTAAAATAACTTTTGATCTTTACTAATATAAGAGCCTGGTCTGCAACCAACTCCATGAGAATCCAATGTAGTACACTTAATTCTCCATTTTACTGATGAGAGAACACGGCTAATAAGCAAAGTAACTTCTTATACATTTATTGTTCTGAACATTTGAAGTACTTTTCTTTTTGACCCATTTTGGTACACCGAAGCTCATATTCAAAAAGCAGACCATAGTAATGATTTAAATGCAGTTCTAGAAATATGAAGATTGTGTCAGACCTTAAAATAGCTGGCCAATGGCTGGCATTATAACTCCAGTTATTTCCATTAATTTGGTTCATGGCTCCCTCTGGGTCTTAAACCAGATAACCAGTTATGTACCAGTTGTCTTTCATAAAATGTAATAAATGATGTTGCTTTACTTTTGTTGTAAAAGCAGTTTCTTTTACATTTAATTCCAAATGGGTTAACCTGGCACTGGATCATACCCTAACATGATTTTAAATTTAAATAAATATTTAAAAACCTTTTTATAGTATTCTTAGTACCTTTTTTTTTGGCCTGGGAATCGAACTCAGGACCTTATGCTTTCAAGGCAGCCACTGTGCTGCTGCTGAGCTATATCCCTAGCCCAGTACCTTTTAAAAATAAAGAATATTTCTATATTAACTTAAGAGCTACTTTTTAAGGCTCACTGGTATGCTTACTTTGGTGTCTGTGGATTATCAAATATTCTATGTCAGCTGTGGGGCACATGTTTTATATTCCCATCAAGAAATCTGTATTGTTGGAGTCTAAAAGTGTGGTGGTTCAGCGGTGGAGCACTTGCCTAATATGTTTAAGGCCCTATGTTCAACCTTTAACACCTTAGGGAGAAAAACAGGTTTAAAGAAGAAAACATACACAATATCATAGTCACCATAACTATTTTTTATTACATTACGATAGGAGTGGTACAGTTCATGACAAAAATATTACAAATTTCGTATCACTTCACAGCACATACTCCTATAAACATTTAAAAGTTAATTTTAATTAAAAGAGTGGTCATTTTTAAATTTAATGTTTGACATGACCAACATTCCTAGGTCAGCGCAACCAAATGATGGAAAAACAACTGGATCACACTGCATATGTCCCACAAAAAAAGCACAATGTACAAAATGTGCATGTTTCAGTTTACACTATACAAAAATAGTTAAAATACATTCCAGGTAAACATGTTACATTAAGAAATAGTACTAGTAAGAAATTGGCACTCAAAGGAAAAATGCGAAAGTATTTTCAACATGAAAACACAAGACAGTGGAATTGGAAACTTTCTGATAAAACATTACATAACCCAGTTAGCTCTATTGGGGGGGATATGGACCCTGTGAAATGGAGATATTTTGCAAATAAACTTTGTTTTCCTAAATTCATCTAAAATGCCTATCACTATCCCAAATAGGCACTTCGGATTATTAAACTAAAACACAATCAATCTAGTTCTAACTGTTCTTCCAGAGCTAAAATGTATCTTTAGAAATTTCAATTTGGACAGGATTTTACAACTACCAGTTGTATGCTATTCAGTTTCTCAATGCAGAATTCATGCTACCCAATATTAACACAGAAATTACTAAATATAAATTCATTTTTAAAGTAACTGGTGGGTTTTTAAATTACTACCTTCCGACAAATGGAAATGATTTCATATAATTTTTTATTGTCTATCCCCAAAACATCCCTAAATGTGTATAATATTGTTTAGGGAAAATGGTTAAAGAAAGGAAAATCACTAGAATACAAATGAGATGAGTTTGTGCAAACTAACTTAACATGCCTCACAAAGTGTATATGTGTGTGTATGGGTGCGTGTGTGGACAAAATTGTGCAATGCTGGCAGAAGGATAACCTACAAAAGTTAGGTTCTAAATTCTTATGCAGTGTGACTCAGTTAATAGAGCCTAAAATTCCTAATTGAAAATATTCAAATTATGCTAAAATGGCTGCTAGATTCTTTCCACAAACATATTAATGCCTAACACTATGTAATTTAGCACTGGTTTCAACTTGAACAAGGATTTTAATCTTTAAGGCTATAGTAATTAGATAACATTTATGTTTATTTCTAGGATTCGCTCCCCTTTTAAAATCTCTACAAAACCACCCTTTTGTTAAACCATTCAGAATTCACATAATAAAGGATAATTGCTGCTACTTTAAAAAAATTTGCCCCGCTACGTAAGACTCCAGAGTCCTAAGTATGCCATTATGCAGTGCACTTCCTGAAATCTGCCCATTTCTTTCACCATGTACACACTAGAGGAGGTACTGTGTAAGTCTCAGTAACTCTATCCAGACAATGCTCCATACATAAATCTGTAGTTTAGTAAAGCATTATACAAATCATACTTGATTTTTACAGAGGTTTCCTTCTTTGTACAGAGAATCAGCTCAGTCACCTGTTTGTTACCTGAATAAAACTATAATATTTAATTTTAAAAAGTCTGTCTTAATTACTTATACAGAGAAAAATGTGAATATTACACCTTTGGAAAAGTTTACTCTTTGAAAACAATGAAGTAAAATGGTTTATACAGCGAGGTTCAATTAAAAAGTTGCACCAGAATCACAGCAAACACAATTACTGTAGAACTGGCCAAACCTCCTTTTGCAAAAGTGCAGTGTGTACTGTACCGTGGCACCTCTGGGTCATGTGCCGAGGGTGCTACCAAGACGAGACAAGGAACGCAACACTGCTTTAGGACGAAGACTGGGCCTTTGCGGAGGCTGTCAGGTCCCCAGTGCCTTGTCTAGTGGCTAGTATACGACAGGCACTGAACAAATATTTACTGCAGAAGTGATTTTTGCTGAGAAGCCTCATGAATTAAACTTTAAAGTATTATTTATTGTAAGATGAATTCAGTTAGTAAAACAATGGAATGCATCATTGTTCCCAGGACTACACTCTCCTTTAGAGCAGCAGCTTGTCAATTCATACTAAGTTTGAAGAGTCCTACCTAGTTACCAGTGGTCTAGGCAGTGAGCAGACGATGTGCAAAGGCCTGAAAAGGTGTCCCAGCCACCTCAGTGTCAGCTGCTAGGTCCAGTCCCGTGTGGTACTGCCGGGAGGAGGCAGATGGGGCAATTTTGATACACCCTGATAGACAGCCTGCATGGAGACTCCACAGCAGCAATATATTATGAAGCCATGAGAATCAAAATATTAAAAGAAATGGGGCATGTGGAAAGGTAGCAAGAAGATGACATTAGTATAGGAGAGAAGTACTAAAAGCGGAGTATGAATATTCAAAGATAAACTTCACCTCTTGCACAATTTTGCCCAAGATTGACCCTAAAGAAGACACAGATAAAAGGTACAGCAGATTACACTGAGTTTGACAAACAGGTGCATCTTTATGTAAACTGAATGTAAACTACATAGTTGTAAAGTTAGATAGGGCCTTTGAGATGATTTCTTTTAACACAAAGTGGATAGTAAATGATTTGAAATTTAAGACACATACCTAGAATATGTTACCTTCCTCCTAGCCCAGTGATATTTTTACCTCACTATACCATCTCATTTCAAATATTTCAAATTAAGAGTAACATTTTAAATGTACTGAAAGAATTTTTATTATGTTTAATAAATCAGATGTTTGTAAATGTGGATCAGACTTGAAAAGCATTTATGAAATGCTACTTTAGCCATTTAACTTTAGCTGTTGAAGACAACTAGCCAAACCAAGAGTTTGAAACTTTGCCAAGTCACTGCTTTTTTTGGTGTCCTCCCATCCCCAAATTGCAATTTTTAAGTTCATATTTAAAAGTAGTATCTTCTAAGTTTTTTTTTTTTTTTTTTGGCAAAAAGTGCCATGATTTGTCAGTAAAGAATACCACACAGTGAAAATGCATTTTGTCAACCTATCCCAATTTTTTCCTGCTGCCCATTTGACCAAGCAATTCATGACATGCTGGATGACCCGGGAAGGCAGTCCTGGCCTTGAAATTCTGTGACGCGCAAAGGTACCCAGAAGGCCTGGCCTTGCAGCACTTAGCTAAACTATTACTTCTTCACTAACACTACCAGAACTGAAACTATTTTCAAAAACTGAGGCTTAGAGCGTGCTAAGAAAGAGCAATCTAACACAGGGAGACTATATTTAATTACTATAGAATTTTTATGCACATTAAAATTGTTTCAACTATTATAAAATTTTAGTAGCATGTAAATATAGTCCCAAAATGGTTGGTATAATCCCCATTGCATACTGGATCTGCCTCAGCAGGAAAAGCTAGGAATCTTACAGTAATTTATATAATGTGGAAAGTCAATGGCCTTTTAAAATTTTCCATCACCTTATTTTTTTTTCTATTTTTTCTTTTTATAGAAAAAATATAGTATTTTTGGACAAATGACCATGACTAATAGCAGTGGAAAGGGGAGAAAACCTCGGTGAACAGTGTAACTTTATACATTCATGAAGGACGACAAACTATAGGTCATGATGTCTAGAAGATGAATCAAAGGAAGCCTATAAATTTATGATCCTTCAATATTTCAGAAAAACTAATCATAAAGTCTCAACGGAAATTATAATTACTAATTAACCCATTTATGTGGCTAGATAAAACAAAGTGGATGATTCCAAAGCTTCATAAATCTGTTTCACACCAACATTCACAATTGGTAAGAAAAATAGGAAGTAATCAACTTGCATGCACCAGAAGCCCCAAGACAGAATCTCAGGTATTCAGTTTCTTTTTCACAGGCATTGCTAGTTCAAAAACCAAAATGCAGGGAATACTGGCACTTAGAGGGGAAAAAAGTTTCCACTGTCATTTTAAAATGAGCATTTAAGATAAAAGCTAACAGTTTGCATGAAACAGGAAAAGAATTAGGTAATGCTAAAACAAAAGCTAATAATTTAGTGTAATGTACAAAAATTACCACTTTTACTTAAGTATGCCTTAAGAAAAAAGTACAAATTGTATTTACATAATTATACACTTTGTCTTTGACTTCTTTTTCTTCTTTTTACCATCTTTGCTCATCTTTTCTTTATGTTTTCGAATTTCTCGAACTAACGTATAGAAGGCATCATCAACACCCTGAAATACACAGAAAAGTATAAAATGTATATGTTTATGTATGGTGATTTAAGGTACACAGATAACGGATTTCCACAAACATTAATACTGAGGAAGAATAAGGAGACTACATTTTTCTTCAGGCAGCTTATTATATCTGACTTTCAGGGTCCTTAAATATTGTCTTCATGGGAATTCTGACACAGCACATGGGACCCATTTTCTTAATGGGCAATGGTAATCAGTAACAGAATCTTAAAAGAAGCTTATTAACAACTGACTTTTTTACAGAACTTAATCTGCTATTTATTTTTCTGTATTAGCAAAGCTTACTCCCCAAATCCACATGCATATGTGTGTGTGTGTGTGTATGCACACTTTTGTGTATGTACACTTGCCTGAGTTTCTGGACTTTGCATATAAGCCATACATTGGTAAACAAACTATTTTCAGGGTTTCATAAATCACAGCAACAGTACATAAGCTCTCAGTCTAGACTTTTAATTTCAATACTTAACCAAGAGGCAAACAGTATGTACACCTTCCCCCCCTTTTTTAAGTTTTCAAGTATGTTGAGACTAGTTGTAGCCCACACATCATTAAGAAAGTGGTTTAAAGTGACCCTGCAAGAGATTACTCTTTTTTAAATTTTTTTATTTTTTTTGCAGAACTGGGGATTGAACTCAGGCCCCTGCGCTTGCCAGGGAAGTGCTTGTTCTACTGAGCCATCTCCCCGGCCCCCTGAGATTACTCTTTTGAAAAAATGTTAGTACCTTTGATTTTTCAGGAAATGGGCCAAGTCATCTAATTTGTGTTACAGTTCACTAATCTGGAGATTTGCTTATTATTCCAGTTTCTGCTCAGTACATTATATAAAGCTTGCCATATACATAACTTGACTTGAAAGAATGTTGACAAGAAGCCTATGTCTATTTGTGATCACAGCAAGGTACATAAATTCCAAATCAGAGCTGGGTGTAGCTCAGTGGGATAGTACTTGCCTAATATGTGCAAGGCCCTAGATTCAATCCCCAGCACTGTGCAAAAAAACCTCCCTTCAAAACCACAAATCAGTCATGGCTAAAAATAATTTTAAATCAAAATAATAACCCACAATGTGAAAAGTAGCATTTTGAAAGTAGTAGTAGAATACAATTTAACCCTTGAATACTTAATTATGCATGATCAACATAGAAGTCATTCTTACCATATCTGATAATAAGTGAATTAAACATAAATGCAAACATTTTTAAAAATATGATCTTCTCTTGCATATTAGAATCTTTTTCCACCCCCTAGTAAGTACATATAGAAAGAAAACCATGTTAACCTAGTAATGCTTGCAAAACTAGACACTAGAGGGAGTCTTAGGAACAAATACCCAACTAACTAAATTGGATAAATCAACCATGTTAAGAACAATGAGCTGGGTTTTTACTCACTGTAATTTATCTCTGTTGAATAATTTTAATTGTATAAATTTTATAATATATATTTTAAATAGCCTATGTACAAATTATCTTAAGAATTAAAATGTAAGTGATGGATTTCTTTTCATACATTATTTAGATCTTCAACATTATATTTCAAAATGCAATTTAATTCAGAGCACTTTCTTTCTCAAGTTATTTAACTAAATTTCCAACCTGATACGAAAGTCAGGAAAGTCTGGCCAGTATTTTCAAAGACGTAAAAAAGAGCGGCAATGAGAGGCTTGCCCAGATTCAAATAGGCGGCCGAGGGAGGGAAGCCAGATCGCCGAGTCGAAGCCCAGTGAGGAACTGTCCTACTGAAGTACTAAGTGCACTCAGCCAAGCTCCTCTCCACCTTCTGGAAATCATTGCTGAGGCAGCAAAGGCATGCTTTTGCTTCGTGTGAGAATTAGCAGCAGTGAGAGGCTCACTCACCCGGGCATCTCCCGTCACGCGACCCTTACCACACACAGAACGGAAGCCTTCCAAAGACATGCTAAGATTACCTACAACTCAAAGACTTGACAGCTGCGAATCAGAAACCCTGGAACTAGGATGCCATCTTAAGAGGCTTGGTAACTGTCTTACCCTCCATGAGTTAATTCCCTTTAGTCATACACTCTTATGTAGTCTACTTCAGCTACTTTTACACTGAAGGAAAAAATGCCAGTGAAGCAGAACAATGAGATCATGAAGATGGACTTTCTAAAGCAGAAATATACACTTAAGTAATTAAGACTCAATGAGGACTGCCAGCCTGGGCTATGTAGCAAGTTCAAAGCCTGCAAGACCTTGTCTCCCCCCAGCCCCGCAGAGAGACAATGAAGATGGAATTTTGATACCATGACCCTCTACTAAGATTCTAACAAATACTTTAAGCTCTTGTTGCACCAACCTCTACATTAGATAATTTCAATGAGTAGAAAAAAATGTCAGTTAACTACTACACTGAGCTGCTTTTTCTTGTACATAACTAATGACTCTCATGTGTATATGTAAAAGACTTAAGCGAGTACCCCATTAGTTGGTCTGCTTTAGCCTATCTTTTCGAGAACTAAGAAAGACTGATCTGTATATACTTATCAAATAAAGTTTCAAAAATATTTTTAATGAACTTTAGGGGACGCACTTGTTTTCTTTATATAAATGCCACTAAAACAAGGATTTCATTTATCTTGTCAAGCAAATACCTGAAATTCACACTACTGTCAATTATGAAAACTGCACAAATTAGAAATTTTGGAAAAATGTTTCCATTTTTTAGAAATATAAAGTATAAGACATTTTTGAATTTTATTTGAAAGTGTTTTAAAACTTAATAAAAAGAGAAAATTGTTTATGATATTTCAAAAAGGTTTAATTTTTCAAGTTCTATTTTACTATTACTTCTAAAATTAAGGTGCTGGGGCGATAGCTCAGTAGAGTAAGCACTTGCCTGGCAAGCGCAAGGGCCTGAGTTCAATCCCTAGTTCCACCAAAAAAAAAAAAAAAAAGAAAAACATAAAATTAAGGTGCTACTTATACAGTGATACTCAAAACATTGTAAGAGTTTATAAATCTCAGTTTAAAAATGTCAGTAATGTTCTAAGTATAGTACATTAGTATTACATAATGGCTTTTTAAACTGTTTATTATTCAGACATGTATTGTAAACTTTTGGGGAAAATATAGTCATTATTTTAGACCTAAAATTCATATAATCAATTTTTAGCTTAGTATAATATTCTAGCAATTTGATGTTGGCAGCAGCAGGAAGGTAGGGAAGTGATCAAATGTGTGTAGGTAGGACTGGGACTCAGGGCCTAAAGCAAACAAGCTACCTCAGTCCTGAGAAAAACATCCTGTCTGGGTCAGGTTGCCAGGCAGCCTTGTTCCACATGTTACTAACTTTGCAAAAGTATAAATAAAGGATGTTTTTGTTGTGCTGTGCGGGAGTTAGTCTTGCCCATCAGGCAGACTAGCAACTATGCAGCCCAGCTTTTGCCTTCTTGTCTTTCTCATTCTGCTGCCATGTCTCCCTGGGTGGGACCATTCACAGTAAGACCAGAGGATCCCTACAGTTAGAAAAAAGGAATTCTATTTCATGTCCTTAATGACAATGAGTATCACAAACAACAGTCAGCAAAATCTGACCTCTGCTGTGAACATTATGTGTCATCTACTGGGTAAGGTTCTTTCTGAACAAGACTGAACAAAGGCTCCACTAAATAAATCTTTACTGGGCAGCCACTAAATGTAGGAACCTTACTGTGCATGCAAGGATTAAAAACATATGACTCCATAGATTCTACTGCCTAATACTCAAATAATACAAAAAGTCATTTCAAATAACACGGGGAAGTATGCAACAGTTAAAACACAGTATGCTGGAAATACCCAGAAGACACCAGGCCCCGTCTAAGAGTCTGAAGGTTGAGAAAATGGGACACTGAGGAATCATGTGAATATCAGCTACTTAACACAACTAAGATAAGAATACTGGCATTCCAGACGAACCCCAGTGCAAGATAAGATGGGAAGTAACGTAGCATTGCTTTATGTGTGGACAAAAATCTAAGCAAGACGACAATTTTATAGAAAAAAGGCCACGAAAAGGCTGGAGAGGTGTATTAAGGACCACAAACGCCAGGCTGTACAAGCTGAGATTCTGTTTGGTAAGGCAGTGGCTAGATGTATAGGTGAGAGAGTCCCTTTGCTTTTTACCATCTTTCTGCTTGCACAGACAGACAGGTAACAGGAAGTTAAACCAGCGCCAACAAGAAATCAGAGGCCCAAACAAATGACGATTTAAAAAAAAGAAGAGAAGGTAACACCATAGGAATTTATAGTAGCTTCCAAATTGGTGTGAAAAGTAGAGGCAAGACTCAAACCAGAACTCGTAGGTTTCTCATACGAGCAAAACAGCACTGCAGATGACACTGACTTAGAAAACCTAGTTAGAATCCTTATGGCCCGTGCAGTGTTCAAAGGAAAAATACCTGCTGGGCCATCCACCCTTACTCTTCTACATCATCTCCTGTACTTTTTTTTATTAAGAAAAGAAAAAAGAAAAAAAAAAAAAAAAAAAAAAAAGCAAAGGCTGCTTATTGCAAAACCTGAATCTGATTTTCCTTAAAAATAAAGTTATGTTTCCAAATGGTTATCTAATTTAAGGCTAAATCATTAAGTTTACGTTGAACACATTGTCTACGCTAGCCAATTACCTACGACAATCTAAATCATTTCAATTATAATCATTGCATTCAAAGTAAATGTATTCATTATGGAAATAAACTACAAGATTTTTAATACTTCAAATTATAATACCATACCTAAATAGTTCCATGTGGTTGCTACTTTGTTACCTTTGAAAGACATCTGCTTTGTGTCAAAATTAATATGCTGAACTTACCAGATTACATTATAATGCATTTTTTAATTTTCACACAGCCAGGAGTCTTTTCTTCTTTGCTGATTTTTTTCAATCTGTATTGTCGAATCTCTCTCACCAATGTATAAAAAGCATCCTCCACTCTCTGCATTGTAAAACACAACTTCTTTAAAGTCCGTTTCATTGGTAAGAATAATGTATTGGGACAGCCATGTGCAAGAAGTTTGCAACTATCAGCTTTTAGAGTTTTTTTTTTTTAAACAGACATTGTTTGAATAAAATTGAGGATGCATTTTGAAAATATAGGCTAGAACCTGGTTTGCTCCAAAAGTTCTATTTTCTTTCTTTTTTTTTGGCAGGACCAGGGATTTAACTCAGGTCCTTGTGCTTGCCAGGGAAGCACTTATTCCACTGAGCCATCTCCCCAGCTCAAAAGTTCTATTTTCTAATGGAATTTCATTGCTTAAAAAATTGAATTTGGAGTTAGGGAGATTATGAAAAACTTACATTTATCAATTTATACAGTCATTTTAGTTTGCCAGTTAAGAAGTTTATGCCTATCAGGAACTATAACGCCTATCAATTACCTATTTATGTTGGGAAGGTAGGAGTAAGTGATGCAATAGGAATAGACAGTCTTTGTTAAAACACAAAGTATCTTGCAGTAACAGTGAGTCGACACTGAAATCTCAAAGTTTTATATTCAACTGTAAAACTCTGTAGCCAATTTTCTAACTCCACAACTAGAATTCTGAGTAAGATCTTTGTGGATGGATAGCTAAATTATTTAAATATTACATAAGGGCCATTTAACAAAATACTAAAATGTCACGAACTGTTTAAATTACACATAAGTGGGAGCAGTGCATTTTATCCTTTTTTTTTTTTTCAAGTTAAAAAACAAAACACTGAAGAACACTATTCAAACATGCTGGCTGTGTACCCACTCTTTTAATTTACATATTCTCATGTGGGTTTATCCAGCTAGGGCTACAATAAGAAAGCTGTATAACAAGTACATTCCTATAAATCCACCCCGGAGATGGGAGTTGTCATTTTTCCTAGCTTGGAAAATTAGGCAGTTGCCTAAGGGGACAAAGCACTTGACTCCCTATAATGCTAGTCAAAGCAGAAAAACACAGCATCAAAGTAAGGGTTTCCATCTAAAAGAGAAAAGCACATTTCTATTAATCTGCAGGTACTGCGGATTAGCTTGAAACAACTGACATATGTGTTTACCTTCTAAAAGATATGAAGGCTTAGGAAAGCTGGCATATTTTACTACACATTTAATTTTAAGTTTATTGTACTTATTTCATTTTAAGAGTGAACTGAATCACCTTGGGCATCACCTACTTTAACTTTCTGCAATTCGTAACATCAGTGTTCCCACTGAACAGAATATGACAAATGAACGTGTCCCAGCGCCTACAACAAAGCTGGGAGATACCAGCAGAATGATTTGCAGTTTTGCACATAACGAGGCACAAAATTAGCCACTAGGTATTCAGGGCAGTAAGTCAGTAACAGTGCATAATACAATCATTTGTATTATGCTGAAGTCATTTGTACATTTACTGTTAACTACAGTTAAGAAAAGACTAACTTCAACTCTTCAACTGAATTGAATTCTTTGGGGAATATTTTTACAAACCTTAAGAGTACCTAAGAACTGCTTCACTAAAGTTCAGTTATTTATCCTTAAAAGTTTTCATAAGATTAAGTTTCAGTTACGAAGCAGGCATCTATATATGATTGTATGCTAAAATGTGTATTTCAAGCTTTTAACATACCATCCAGGGATATGTTTTCTATTCAACAACCTAACAATACAAATCTTACAGCTCAAGAAAATTTTATCTTGTTTTTAATGGAATCATTTTAGTTAACCAGCTAGCAAAGCCAACTAGAAATAAAAATTTCCAATTTTTTTTAGCATTAAATGTGTTGGTGCTTTACATCTGCACGTGTACTTGTTCAGAAAAGCTTTCAGTACTTCCTACATACCATTCTAAAATAAGTTTATCTTTATTCATTTGTCCTTGAAACAATTATACATTAGAAATTCATTATTAAGCAAAATAAGTAATCTTTTTTGTTTGTTTTTGTTTTTGAGGTACTGGGGATTGAACTCAGGACCCTGCGCTTGCCAGGGAAGCACTTATTCTACTGAGCTATCTCCCCGGCCCCAAAATAAGTAATTTAAGACACTAAGATGACTCTTGTAAAGCATGTAAAAATGTAAAAGAGCTGTCTCTTGACAGTTTTATAAATGTTTTCAATTTGAAAATCAATGCAAGTTAAAAAGTATGCATTTGGACTTCTCTATAGGTAATTATACACAAACCAGGTAAGAGCTTATATTTTCTTAAAATGTTCAAGAATGTAAACTTTGTTTCCTGTTTAAAAAAAAAGTACAAGGTCATTGTAGAAGTATTAAATATACTACTAGGAGGATAACAGGGTATTTATCCTCTATTAATTTAGCAAAGCTGTTTTGATTGTAACTTATTTCTACAATCAGTTTGAATGTGCCTGCTTCCTCACTGTAAGCAGCCCCATCACCAATGCCACAGTGTATGATTTTTGTTTCTAGCAATGCAGAGAGAGAGAACTGGAAGCTAAGAATTAAGAGATCATTCCCACCACCAAAAATTCAGGGTTAAGACCTCAGGGCCTAAGAGCACACCAAACAATTGTTTTTCCAGAATGACTTCTTCCAGTTCATTTTATCTGATAAGAAATTTAATTTAACAAATCTGTTACTTGCCATCATTTTTCAGAATTGAACTAGTTATTTAAGATATTTTAAAAAATCAGACTGCTATCAAGAGAACAGAAGGAGGCCGAGGCATATGGATCACAAGTTTGAACCTAGTCTAGGCAACTCAGTGAGACCCTGACTCAAAAGATTAAAGAAGAGCAGAGGACTTAAGTAGCCTGGGGCGAAGGCAGTGGCTCAATTCCCAACATCAACCCCCAAGAGAAGGGGAAGGCAGGGCAGGGTGAGGAGAGGGAGGACAGAGGGCGCTACAACACGCAAATATTGTTATTTGTCTACACCTTACCACTGGTACTGGATATTTTTGAAAACTGCTATAACTGCACAAAACTATGGAAAAGAAGGCTTCATATTTCATATTCAAAAGTCTGAAGATAATTTCTGAAAATTATGTGTAGCTCAAACATTGTGACCAGCTGCTAATAAGCTCTTAATTAGTACTTAGTGATTTATCTTTAAAAATACAGCTTACTGCTATATATACTCACTTTCAAATGTCACTTACTAAATTCTAAGAACAAATGAAGATATTTAGGATAATTGCATACATATTTAAATATTAATATTTCAAGTCAAGAGATCTGACAATATTTTCGACTTAAATATTATAAAAGACTTGTAAGGATAGAAAAATAGCCCTCCATAATGTAGAAAATGTTGTTAACAGATAGGATTATTCCTAATGCCTATGCTTTCACTGAGATTCGATTTTATCAAGTATTTGTTCCTTTGAATCAGCAAAAATTTTTCAAGACAATAACATATCAAATACCTTATTTATATAAATACTAAAATAACAGCTTCTCTAGAAAAGGGACTTAAGGAACAAGATGACTCTACGAAACAACTTGCATCCTGACATTCTGATGAATCTTACAAAATGATAGCCATCTCAGGCAGCACTGAAGTACAATAGTGACACCACCCGGGAGGGTACGCACAGTGTACAGCAAGTGCTCAGTAACTGTCGTCTTCTTTTTTTTTTTGTAAGTGTCTTCTTTTTAACTCGTAAGAAACCAAAGTTCAAAATACCGAAACACAACATCAAAATACAGATATGGCACACAAGGCTTTTTGTTTTGCTTTATTTTTATGATAAACTTTCTTTAATGTCTTTATCAATTTTATGTATCTAGAAACCAATACCAAAACCAGAAAAGTAATCACTCAACATTATTAAATTTGAAAACTAATTTTTAATTATATTCAAAGTAAAACCACCAGAATGCAAAACAGCTGAATCAGGCATAGCAAATACTCGCAAGTCTGCTCTGTCATCTACTTTACTAAATCTCTCCATTTTTAAGATTTTAGCTGACTGCAAACTCAAAGCTGATTCCCAGTGGGTACATGTTTCAGTTGTGTTTTGGTTTTTCCCAGTACTGGGGATTGACCTTGTACTTGCCAGGCAAGGGCTTAGTCTAGTGAGCCAAGTTTTACCAGCTTCTGCCAGCACTGCTGTGTGCTACCCAGAGAGACCAGGAAAATCCTCACTTTCCAGAGAAATGTGAAAGGAAGTAGCAGCCTTCTACACCAGAAACACAGAGACCAAGTGTAACGTACTAGTGGAAAATAACTGCTTTCCATTCAGATAAAGACTAAAATACTAGAAAGAATGTAGGTGAGTATTTGGCCAGGTAATAGGTATTTTGAAATTATAAGACAATTAAATTGGTAAGAAAGTATTTATTATTTATGTATTATTTATATTGTTTTATTATATATTTTTATTTATTAATTATACATATTCTACAATGCAATACACAGTACCACAGTAACATTTCTATTTTTCCCTTCCATAAAATATGTACTTTTAACTTTAAAATTAATAGTACTCAAATTCTTCTTTAAACTTTTAGTTGCAAGTCTAGCCTAACTTCCAGTGTCTAAAAGCATCAGGGATTAACATAATGCTTCTCTGAAGTATTCATGCTCTTGGCTCTTGAGTAAGGCCAAAATAGGGCAAATATGCAGGCCAAATACACCCACCTGTTTTGGTTGTAATTTAATTTGGTTGTAATTGTTGTAATTTAAAGAGTTACTTAAAAAGAAAAAAAAAAACAGCACTTGCAGCCTTCCAAGCCCCAAATAATTAGTATCTGATCCTTTACAGAAAAGCTGCCAGTCCTTAGCTGCCAGAACTTCTAAGTGAGCATTCTTTGGGTGCGAGGATGAATGGAATTCTTTGCAGTGTTCATGCTCTCAGCTCATGAGTAAGACCAAACATTAAGACACTGGCTAAGTAGCAGGAAAGATATAATGAGGCTGTTCATATTTTATTCAAATGACAAACCAAATAATAGATGAGTAATGAAATACTCTGCAAAAGATAGGGCTTCAAATCTTCACAAAAACTGGAGATGTAAAATTCACTAAAATGTACATACTGTGTATAAAAAAAAAAAAAAACCTATTTGGAATAGCTCTTCAAAGTCTTCCAAAAGCATATAAATATTGAATTAACTTCAAAAATAAAAGGTGAATCAACGTTTAAAAGCAAATTTGCTTCTCTCCCTTTTTTCCCTCCCAATCTTATATATTTGGTACAGGGTCTCACTACACAGCTCAGACTTGAAGTGACTTGCAGTGATCCTCCTGTTTTTAGGCTCCCCAGGCCTGGGATTACAGGCTCACACCCCCACACCTTGTCGGGGTCATGGGCTCCATGTGCCCTGGGTGGGGCCGGCGCAGCATGTGTTCTTACAGATTGAACCCTGGTCCCTGTACTTGCCTAAGTAGGCGCGTACTCGGCCAAGCTCTCGCCAGCCCAGCAAATTCATGTCTAATCAAATCAAAAAGTCCACTTGATAACAAAACAAAACAAACAAAAAAGCCTAAGCTATATAGTTCATCAGCATGTTCTACATAAAGAATTAAGACAGGGTAAGCTGGGCATGGTGGCACAAGCCTATAATCTCAACACTCAGGCTGAGGCAGGAGGATCTCGAAGAATTTGAGGCCTGCTTGGGTTACAAAGTGAGTTCAAGGCCATCCTGAACTGCATAGTGAGACCCTGTCTCAAAAAGACAAATGATGATGATGATAATAATAATAATGATACCTATTAAAATGATCCACCTAAATTTCTAAAAGTAGATTTAGGCTAATTTGTATCTATATCACATACCTTTCTAAAACTAAAAATACCAAGGCCACAAAACAGTATAAAACCTAAAAACTTATTTTGAAAGGAAGACTGGTAATTTTCTGATCAATTATGAATGTTGCGGTACATTAAAGCATGAATGTCAAACAGCAAGAATCAATCAGCATGTCTGAGGCAGCAATCATACAATGAAAGGAGAGCGAGCCACATTTTACTTTTGTCCATGACAGTAGAGAAAAAAAACACTGTGGGATCCAGACGACCCTTGGATGTCACTCTTGCCTTCCCACACAGTGATCTGTGTACCAAAATCAGCACCATGGGGGACTTGTTGGAAATGCACGATTCACAGGTCTCAGAACCCCACAGAATCAGAACCTGGCTTTGAACCAGCCCACCACCTGTCTTATACTATACACACGTGCATGCGTGCTGAAGTACAAAAGCACTTGTCTTGCAGCCTTTTGTATTAGGGAGTCTCGTGATTTTTCACAACAACTAAAGCTTACTAGCCTCAAATTCACCTTTTAACAATTTTAATGAATGCAGGCATAATAAAATGTGAATGGTAGAATTTAGGCATTAGCTTTGCAAATGTGTTCAATAAAATTCTTCCAAATTTTATATCTGAACTTTTAACAAAATACTAGGAGAAAAAAATGTTACAATTGTGTTTTCTGAGTTCCTTCTCTTGAGGAAAATTGAGTTAACTGGTCAAAGAAGATGAGTAAAAAGAAAGTAAAAACCAAGCCTCTTCCCAATCTGTAGAATCTGGGAATGGACTTGAACAAAGCCTTCCTTGGGTATGAAGTGGTGCACACCAAGTCTTCCTTTAATGTACGAGGAGCTGTCAGCAAGGCCGCCATACACAGTGGACTTGCATGATGGCCAAAAGACAGGGAAACACTTAAAAGAGAATTCTCTGTCTTTTTTTTCTCTGTGTACCAAATTTGTACAAGCAAGGGGTACATATGATGTCCTGCTAGGGACACAAGGTATATGTCCCAGCTGACAATTTTAAACTTAACAAGTTTTAGAGAATCATTGTTTTTGGCTTCTACTTGTAACTAGAAAAAGCACAAAACAAATTAAATTAATCTATTACAATGGAAATTGTATTCCATCATGTCTTTATATATTTGTTTCTAGAATATTTTTCCTTATGTTACATTTATTTCACACAAAAATCTATTTAAATAATATCAACTGAAATTATTTTACCCAGAGAAAAAGTAATTTTAAAAACTGAGTTTTGAAACAAAATTCAATTTTAATTTAGAGGGGTCTTTTGTCAGAACAGTGAACTAATGATTAGCTGAAAAGTTTTACATACTTTTTAAGTTGTCCTTTGCTTCAAAAACAAAAAATACCTCAAAAAAATTCTTCCATGCCAAAACTCTGCAAACACAACACAAACAACTCTAGAAGCAAAAAATCTAATTCTGTGAAAAGTCCTTCCAAAACAGGAAACATAGAATTTGTTCTCATTCTTTGTCTTCAGGAATAAAACAGAAAAATCTCTACCTTTCTTGATTCCTAAACATGAGATGATTTCAGAATTAAAATTTTCAGCCAATAGTATCATGATCATTAGATTAAGCACTGCTCTCAATAAAAACATTTAACCTTGTTTCATTTCCTATCTTAGAATAGAAAAAATTCAGTAAGTTACATTAAGTGATTTAATATATAACAGCAGTATGCTAGCAGCTGTGTATGTTTATTAATGTTCTTGCCTGTCTCCAAAATGATACTCCCAGAATATATATTAATAAACATGATTAATGATTAAAATCATGATATGTATTGTCAGAAACACATTCATATTTACTCCAGATTTACTTACCTGTCTTGTCTTTGCTGACGTTTCAATAAAAGGAATTCCGTAACTTCTTGCTAAGTCCTGAGCTTGTTTTGTGTCTACTGTTCTAGAAGGCAAATCACATTTATTTCCTACTAGGACCATAGGTACGTCTTCAGAGTCTTTAACTCTTTTAATTTGTTCTCTGAGAAAGAAAAAAAGTTATGGTAGAGGTATTAGTAAACCCCAAAATCATTCAAAAAATGTCATGTCATAAGTCCTAAATTTTGCCTTACAAAATTCTGCATTTTGCCACAACTTTTACCTTATGAATACTTTTCATATAGTTCCTAATCTCTACCTTATCAAATTTCCTTACTGGTTATTTTCTAGTTACCTGCAGAGGCACAGTAAAACTCTAACAGGTTCACATGCACGTAGATCATGATTAGAGAGAAAATACTGAACCTAACTTAAAATTGTATATGTTTACTGAAATATGAAGTACAGAGTTAATGTAACTTTCACATTTCGGTAATCACCTCTTACCATGGGGTACACGTGGCCAGAACCTTCCATGGACTCCTTTTTTCTCCCCCCAGCACTGGGGATTGAACTCAGGACCCTGCGCTTGCCAGGCAGGCACTTATTCTACTGAGCCATCTCCCCAGCCCCTCCCATGGACTCGACATGGCAGACAGTACTAAACTCTCTATACACTGTTGTATCCTAGACATGCACATTAATTACAAAGTCTAATTTATGAATCAGACATAACATACTAACAATAATTAATAAAACAACAACCTGTCGTAATAAAGGCTACATAAAACTCATTAACTGATTACTTACTGAATTTTTTCCATTTAATATTTTCAGACCCCAGTTGAATCTAAGTGAAACTGTGGATAAGAGAACTGTACTTTCACAAAAAGAAAGTGACAAATGGAAAGACTTGTGTTTCTATATGGGCAACTCTGAAATTATTACACTGTTCAATTAAAAGCCATCTACTGCTGCACATGGAGTGTGCATAACAACACAGAAGTCTCTGGAGTTGAGCAGGCCTAGGTTTCAACCCAGCACCACTACTGCCACTGATACCATCTGGAACAAGTTACTCAGCTACCGATTCTCAGGAACCTCACTTGTAAAGTGGGAATGTTACGTACCTCACAGAAGTTATTTTAAAATTTAAATTAGATAATATATGCATTGCAATTAGGAAACAATGAATGAAAGCTACAATTACTTCTCAATGCTATCTTATTATATTTGACTTGAACCCACCTATAATGGTGAATATCTTCAAAAGATTTAGTATTATTTATGGCAAATACACAAAGAAAGCCCTCCCCAGTCCTCATGTACTGGTCCCTCATTGCACTGTACTCCTCTTGACCTGCTGTGTCGAGAATATCCAAGAGACAGGTTTCTCCATCAATTACTACTTGTTTCCTGTAGGAATCCTGAGAAGGGAGAAACACAGTCTGGATTATTATAGATAGTGCACCCTTTAAAAAGGTGTTGCATACAACAACACAAAGACAACCCTATCACAATGGGCAAAGAACGCAAATATTTCTTCCAAGATACACAAATGGCCTATAAGCACATAAAAAGATAGCTGAGGTCCTCATGAGCCTCTGTAAAGCAGAACTGTGAGACACTCCCTAGCACCTGTAAGGATGGCCACTGTTGCAAAATAAAAATAAAACACAACAGTACCAGAAAATAACAAGTGTAGGTGAGAAGATGTGAGAAACTGGAATCGTTCAACAGCAGCGCTGCTGGGAATGTAAAATGGTTCAGCTATACTGGAGAATAGCTTGGCAGCTCCTTGCAAAGTTAACAGTAGAATTACGATGTTCTTCAACAGTTCCATTCCAAGGCACGTCACTAGAAAAGAAAGTAGACTCGAGGTATCTGTACACCAGTGTCTATGACAGCCTCTACCATAGGCAAAATGTAGAAACAACCTGTCTGTTAACAGACAGTTACACAACATTGTAGTGGTGCTGCAACATTTTGAATATACCTGATATCACTAACTTACACACTCAAAATGGCTATAGTGGTAAATTTTGGGTTATGTGGCTCTTTCTACAAGAGTGATTTTTAAAAACTGTCATATGGAGAATCAAGAACAGAACTGTATACTGGTAATAAAAAAAATCTACCTGGAAGAAATTATTACCAAAATAGAATACTTCTATAATTCTATCACACAGGATAATTTATATCCAAGAAAAATCAATTTACAAGTAACTGTCACAAATCTGCTTTATTTATAGTCAAAAGAATACACACCAGAATAGTCAATAAATGGGATTCTAATGGCCTTACCCACTTGTGAAAGAAAATCCTGGAAACAGTATCTAACCACCGGATGGGTATTTAAAGGGCACAACTGTTGCGCCTGCAAACTCAGAGAGCCTTCTATTAAAAAGATGGAGGTGGAGGTGGGGAAAGCAGAGAAAGAAAAGAGAAAGGAGGAGAGAGGGTGGGGGAAAGGAGAGCGAGAGAAGGACACGGAGATTTTCAAGACTATGCAACTGTACGACTAGTCAGAGGGCTGGCGGCGCTGTCAGTGGCAGAGTGCGTCCCGAGCATGCCCGAGACGCGAAGCTCAACAAGCGGCGTGTATCGCCTGCACGCACGCACACATGTGGTGTGGTGCGTCAAGCGCACGCAGAGTGTGGCGCGTCAGCAGGATCCTGAAACAAAGATCTGATTTTCCTCTGACTTTTAAGTGATACTGATACTTAAAATTTCACATACTCTACCAAAATAGGCCTCAAAAAATAAGGAAAGGGGATAGTATCACATGAAGCCGTGGGGTAAGAGGCAGAGCTGACAACAGGTATAAAGTACACATAAAGATACTATTTCTTGTTGTCCTGCAAGACGTAACTGCCCTGAGGACACAAGTTACTTTGTGGGCCACTGCATCATGTGGGGGAAGGCCAAGCCATGAGTTTAGTAAAGTGTTCAAAACTGTTCACAGTATAAGGAGAACACAAAGGTACATACATATATGGTATCACCCCAACCAAATGTGTACGTAGTTGTATAAATGCATCTGTATGTCTATACTTACAACCTGGTGGCAAATACAACAAAAGACGTTGAGAGGCTGTCTTTGATGGAGATGATTACGGGAGACCTATCTCCTGCTTCTCTCACGGTGCCAATACTAGATGCTGCAATCAGTTTCTTTCTTTAGATTTCATTAAAATTTTTTTATAGGACCAGCGAGTTAGCTTAGCAGACTAAGCACCTGCTTTGGCAAGTGCAAGGATGAGGGTTTGATCCCCAGTCTTGCATGCTGAGCGAGCCCTGCTCTTGGAGCTTGCTCAGCCCACCACTGAGTCTGGTGTGGTGGAACATGCCTGCAATCCCAGGGCTGGGGAGGCTGAGACAGGAAGATCACTAGGAGTTTGAACTTTGCAGCGAGACTATGTTTCAAAGAAAAAAAGAAGAAAAATAAATAAATAAATAAAAAAGCAGTCAGGAAAAAAAGATGGATACACTTTCTAATGAAGCTTTTAAACAAACATTTGACAGTTTTAACCTACTCACTTGATTTAACTACTTGAAAGAATTTGAAGGTTATAAACTGAAAACCTGAGTTCTGTTTTTTAAAAGGTCAGTTTGTGTGTATGGGGGGGGGGGACACGGACTGAACGCCCAGGGCCTCTCCATACTAGGCAAGTGCTCCACCTCCAACCCAAAACCAGTATTTTTGAAAAATAATAAAAAGGCAGGAATTAAGGGTATAGCGTTTTATACTCAAGTTATTGCCCAGGTGTGACTCAGATGATGTAGAAGTGACCAAAAGTCTTCTCTCCCCTACCATTGTTCAGTTCTCGTCCTGTATGTACCAGTGCGCACTACAGTTACCCAGCCACACACACATTAAAAAAAAAAAAAAAAAAAAATCTTAAAATGTCTTACAAAAACAAGTAAAAGTTTAAGATATTATTAATTTGATTAAGAATGAAATTACAAAGTTTAAGTTACAAAATACTATGCACAATGAAATAAATGGTACCTTTGGGGTGCGTACAATATGAAAACTACTCTGTGAAAATGTAACCAAAATAATACAGAGATTTAAAAATATTTACAAGGAAGAGTTTAAGATTAGGGAGAAGAAAGTTCTATTAAGCTTGTGTCTTACAAGGGAAGAGTTAAAGCAAATGTAGCCAAAAGCTATAGACAAAGCTAGCTGATACACAAATAGTGGTCAATATATTACTTTTCCACATAGCATTAAGTGTATACCCTATTTTCACCTGTTTTTTACATTAACTTCTGATTTTTAGGGAAGTATTGTATATCCTAGTTTACCATTTGCCTCTGAATGTTCTCGTAACAGCTTCTCAATGCTGTTTTCATGAACAGAAACTTATCTGCAGATAGATTAAAAGAAATTTGAAAGCTCAGGCAAAATCATTCTAGGATAAACTCACTGACCAGAAAAGCAGTTTGTCATTTTGTATTATAGTGAGTACTGACCAAATATTCACATGCTCACCTTTTAACTTGGTTTAACCAACTTAACTTCGTTTCCAATCCAGGCAGTAAGTCTGATTCAAGATACAGTAGACAAAAACTCTAAAGAAACTACAGGTAGTAACTTTTCTAAACGGAATCATAATACTTTTTGGGGAACAGGGCTGGGTATTGAGCCCAGGTGCACTCTTACCACTGAGCCACACCCCAGCTGCTTTTATTTCTTGAGAGGCAAGTTCTCACTAAATTGCCCAAGCTAGCCTTGAATGTATGATATTCCTGCTTCACCCTCCTGCGGAGCTGGGATTACAGGCATGTGCCACCACACCTAGGCCCTACTGCTCTGAGCAGTAATTACAACAGTCAACATTTACAGAGCTCTTATATGTCAGATACTGTGATACGAGTATTACAAGCATTATCTCACTTAATCTCCACCTTCAGACTTTTGATTCTATCAGGCGCTTCTGCTAGTACAGTTAGGACTACTAAATATTAGCTAATGTATTATCGGTGTAGAGGGGTATTTCTGAAATTCTTTGCAGTTTTCTTAATGTGTTAAGTATTATAAGAACATCTATAGGAGGAAATAAGAAATTTACTCTTTTAATGCTCCAATATTTTATGTTACTCTTACAAAAAATTATTTGAATCCATCATAAAGATGTGTTCCACACTACTGGTTATTATTATTTTTTAATGTATTTGGTACAGGACCTCACTACACAGCTCAGACTTGTAGTGATCCTCCTGTTTTCAGCCTCCCCAGTGCTGGGATTACAGGCATGTGCCACCACGCCTGCTCTCAGTGGCTGGCTCAGTGTGCCCAGGGTGTGGCTAGCACGGCACCACTGCCGGGGATTGAACTCCGCTCCCTGCGCTTGCCTAAGTAGGCACTTAGTCTGCTGAGCTATCTTGCTGACCACAAACTACTAGTTATTAAGTCATCAAAGGTTAGTTCTCAAAGTCAGATAGAAATATGCGCTGCGGCCTAGTATGTTACAATAAGAGGAAGACATGAGTAATTTGGTATATGTGAATAGGTTCATGAGTTCCTTGCCACCTACCTACCCATTCTTTGCTGTATCAGGAGTAGTTATTGAAAACCTAAGTGTCACATTCTATGCTAAGGCATTATAGGTTAAGTAACCACAGTATGAATATCTAGAGTCAGGAACATTCTTATATATCCAAAATTTGAATTTTTGGATCAGGGATATTCAAATAGTAAAGTTTGCACAAACATTCCCAAATCCAGAAAACTCCAAAGTATCAAATACTTCTAATCCCAAACATTTCAGATAAAGGATACTTTATCTGTTTATGGTTTCTGAAGGAACTGAGTCTACTGGTAGAGAAATAGATGTAAACAGACAATTGAAATAGACTGAATTAACACTATAAGCAGGATGAAGTATAATGACATGACACAAGAGGTCAACTTTGCTTGACTAAAGAAAGACAGGGTAGGGGCTGGGGAGATGGCTCAGTGGAATAAGTGCTTCCCTGGCAAGCGCAAGGGCCTGAGTTCAATCCCTGGTTCCGCTAAAAAAAAAAAAAAAAAGGTAGCACCATTCCAGGTAGGAAGGAACAAAGAAAATGTACAAAACACATGAAAAAGCAAGATGAATACATGAAACCAAGAAGTTCAATAATAATTTCACCTGTGATATAATAGGTAAGTAGCAAGAAGTGAAAATGGACAGTCAAGCAGAGCCAAATTATACAGGGTCAAGTAAGCCATAATTATGGAACTTTTAATGCCACTGTACACCAATAATCACTGAGAGGTTTTTAAGTATGCAGGGAGAAAATTATGCTCACCGCTAGTACGACTAAGACAAATCACGCAAAGGGATATGAAGTTCTGACGCTCCTAGAAACTGCCTCATCACATCCACCTGAACCACCAGTAGCAGTGTGAAGCATCCCCTTCCGTCACACAGGCTTC